CCAATATGTTTTGATTGTGACTCACGTGGGGAAACCAACGTTGGTTGTTTGATCTTGAACCCTGGTTCTTGTAGAGGGCAAATGCAAGACCACCCCCTAAACACCGGGCTCCAGACCACCAGTTTGGGAATTGATCAATATTCCTGGCCCCACAATGACCATGGGTAACTTTTCCCATTTAGTGATTGAACTATCATTTCTTCAGCGGTTTTCCAGCCAATGGTCATTCCATGTAAGAACCGGACCTTTTGCTCAACCCACAGCTAGATCGAACCAAAGACAAAAGGTCCTCCATTTTGTGAGGACTCCCCCCATATTTCGCCTGTGGTTTTGATCATCACCTCGTTGCCACTTTGATTCGTTCAGCCTGCTCTGTGCGTTTCCTGCGCGTGGGTCACTGTACCAGCGCTGAACCTTCTTTCCGAATCCAAGTTCCTTGGTGTAGATTCGTTCTCAACAGGAGCTGCTGTGCTGCCGCAGCTTTGTGCTGGCAGCGGTGCAGCGTAACGGCCACGCGCTGGGCTTTGCGGAGGAGGCGCTGCGTGGGGACCGGGAGCCCGGGCTCCCAGACTTGATTCCACTTGACGGTTCCTTCCATTGGCTGAAATGAAGATTTTTCGTATTTGTCCGCTGTTTGCTGTGTTCAGAGTATCGTTGTTTGTTTTCCTTTGTTGGTTTTGAAAGGAACATATCACTAGTGGAAATATGTGTTTTCTTTTTTTTTCTCAGGGGACTTAAGCAAATGGAGGGTTCCTTTTGGGATTTTGTGGACGTTCATGGGGTGAAACTCATAATATGATTTCAGTTGCAACCACTAGATTTTCACCGTTGAGCTGCACAGCCTACTGAGGTCCTGAGTTTAAACCAATCAGCAGAGTGAGTTGTAGCTGGGGCAGTCCTCTAGTGTTTTCTCCGTCTTGCTTTGAAAGCTGAACCATACAGTTGCCCCCCGCCCTTTCTTGGCGGCAGTCGAAGGTTTTTGGGAAGAGGCAAGTTGGAATTTTGGATCCCAGAATTCAAAGGGACCTATAAGAGCACCTCAACAGCTGGATTTGACCTCTCCAGTTGGTCCGTGGTGCCAATTCTTGTCCCCACTGATGGTCAACCAAAAGGGGTCGCATTTCAAGCCAGGGTCACTGGGCAACTGTGTTTTTTGGAAGAATGGATGTCACTCTGTTTCCTTTGTTTGGGGGCACAGTTCCATCCATGGCAGACAAGCCAAAAAGGGTGTCCGTGTTTGTCCATGTTAGAGTACCAGCTGGGCAAGTCGACGTACCAACTGAGTTGACCGACACCTTCTGAACGGGCTCACCAAGCCCTGGGGCTGATCGGCGTGGATTTGTCCATCTTGGGGTGGGGCCTTCGGGGAGCCTTCCAAGAGGGGTTCCGGAAAGTTCCGGTCAGTGCCAGGGATTTGGTTGGGGACGGGGGACAGCGGGGCGCTGCGGCGTGCGACACTCCCCGGAGTTCGAAGTTCGGACGCCGAGGCTGGTGAAGGTCGCCGTGCTGAAGAACGGCTGGGCGCTGCAGTACGCCTCCAAGGAGCTGCAGGCGGACAAGGACTTGGTGCTGGAAGCGCTGCAAAGTGTAGGCGAAGCTGCCTGGGTGGGATCCACTCGGGTTTTTCCCTCAGATACAACAAACTTCCTCGTGGTTATTTCCCACAGCCCTGTTTCTGGCGATTCGCTGGTAAAGATGTGTTATGTGATTCCATGTTCCATGATGAGTCCTGATGGGACGAACCAAGGAACACGTAGCTATTCTCCCCCCCCACCCCCCGACCAAAAAAAACACACACACACAAAATACAAAGACGAAACACACAAACCACTCTTTGCAATGCGTTTGCCGAGAGAATCTCGGCAGGTCGTTTCTTTGAGCTCTTCAAAGCTTTCAATGGGCAATTCCACAAACGCAGTTTCGAGAACCCCTCAAACTGCAAGCCCTACGGGTTACCAGTAGGCAACAAGGGAATGACCCCAACCGAACCGAAGCATCCTTTGTAGTTTCCTTGAAGATACCCTTCTAGGTCATTCCCAAGATCCCTCAATCCGATTCCCTGCTGAGAACCAGTCCGTTTTTCATCTTCGGAGCTTCGTGTAGGAGATGGGAGCATAAGTGCGGCCAAGGATCCCAAAAACCTTGTTGGGATTGATCTTCAGCACTCCTGCTCTATCAAATACCTACCTCCAAACACCTAGGTGGAAAAACTATGAGCCCCCGCCCCCCCCTTTTAGCTTTCAGGGCCACTGGAGCCACAATCAAAACCCGGGTAGATGAAGGTTAGGGACAATCCCAGCCATAAAAGCTGCGGATATCCGGCTTCTGAATTCTTGAAGCATGGTGCTGGGTCGACCACTTTCCAGGGCTCCTTAAAGCATACATTTTGCCAATTTGAAACATGGCCATGTACAAGGCAATGTTCAGGTGTATAATGTAAGGATCCCTGTTTTAGTACCGGGTTTTGATTTTGACTCACTGGGCCCTCCGCAGGCCTGGCGCTCCAATTCGCCTCAGATGCCTTGCGTCGAGACCCGGAGACAGTGGCGGCGGCGGTGCGGCGGATGCCCGAGGCCCTGGCCTACGCGGAGGAAGTGACCGCCGAGACGCTTCTGGAGGCGGTAACTCAGGAGCGCAACCCGCAAAAATCGATCCCCGAAATGTTGATCCATGATTTTTTCTCCAAAGAAAAGTTCAAAACTTGAGACACCCGAGGAAAAGCCAACCATTTTCAGAAGCTCCCAGTAACCATGGTTCTAGTCCCCCACCCGACCGAGATGAGTTGCCGGAGAGCATGTCGCACGAACTTGCAGATTTGAAAAAGGCTCTGCGAAAGAACGACATGGATGATTTCCTTTCCCAGAAAGACCTGACGCCTCACTCATGGCGTAGGCTCGTGATTCTGGACGGGGACCCCCTGTCAGCCATGTTGGTGGAGGGAGTGTATACAATTTCCCAACATGTTCCTTTGAAGGCAAGAACAATTCGGAGAAAAAGCGACGCTTATTTCCCACAAAAGCGCGAATTTTGGTTCCTCTCCAGCCCTCATCAACTCCACGTTCAATCCAAGCCTCCGAACTCTAGACCTTTTCAACCTTTGGACAGTCAAAATATGTCAAAAACTGCCATCTTGAATAGCATTCCTGAAAAGCTTTTTAGTAGGCCTGGTTCGTCAGCAACTTGTTCAAGAAACACAAGCATGTTCACACAGGTGTGTTTTTGCCTTTCCGCCGATGTCTACGTATTTCCCGGGGAGTTCCGCGTATGTTCCGCCGATGTCCGCGTGTTTCAAGCGGCCAAGTTTGCAGGATTTTGCCACAAATCCATCGGGCACCTTACACAAAGCTTACTTAAGTTGTTTGAGGTTGTGACTCCTATTTTGAAAGGACGCTGGTAGATGTAAGATCAGGCCAAATCAGCAGAAATGGCTGCGGAACATGCAATTGGCAGTTTCTGCAGATTTGTGCCTTTTTGGCGAAAGAAGCACACACTTTGCAATAAGCAAACATGTGCTCCGTTTTTGAGGGTCCAGGTATGTTGTGTATGCATGTATGTTGTGCAGGTATGTATATATATATAATATCATATATTATACATGTATGTGTACATATATATATATATATATGTTATTTTACGCATCTCCTTGAGGAGGGCATGCTGCTGCACTACGCCTCCGCGTCCCAGCGCCAAGACAAGGCGCTGGTCCTCGCGGCGGTCAAAAGCGACCCAGACGCCTTGGACTACGCCTCGGAGGATCTGCAAAAAGATCCAGAGATCTTGGAGGCGACCGGGCCGAGAGATGTGTTTTTTCCTTGTTTTTTTGATAAAGTTTACGGTTTGTAGGTGACTCAATAGTTGTTTATGAATTGTTGATTGGTTGTTCATGGGTTGCTTTTGGTGTCGTTATTCATGGGTTGTTTTTGGTGTTTGTAGGTTTTTTTGTTCATTTAATGGAGGTGAGTGGGAGGGAAACAGAAAGGGGGAGTCCTTGTATACCCAAAGCAAAACGCCCTGTGTTTAGAGGACACTGTACATTCCCGACATCATGGACCCTGGCCTAATGTAAACCCGGCAAGCGACAATTTTGTCGGGTTCGTTTCAAGTTACCCGAATTCAACAAGCTCACTTGCCCGAATTCAACAATTCAACAGCCCATGTTGGTAGGTGTTGTTTGAGGCCTCCAGAGGTTATCTTTTTCTGTCCGAGTGAGCAACCGTTTCCAAGAGCACCTCTGAGGCCTGTCGGATGGGGCGCAGCGGCTGAGTGCTGTGAAAAAAGCTGAGCTGCGCGCGAAGGGGTTATCTCAGATCACCAGTGGTGCGGTTCATTTTTTCAACTGCTTTTTGGAGGGGTCAACCACCGAAAGAGTGCAACCGATTTTTCCCATGGCCAGAGGGGGCCGAATTGCGACCTCATGGTGAAGCTCCTCTGGGGGTCCTTTCAGGCGGGTCCTTTCTCAGTCCGCCCATCATGCCTAATGTCAAACACGATGCACGACCACTGCCAAAATAGAACCGGCTGGAATGCCTGGCAAACGTTTGGGTTAGTTCCGAGACACCTTGCCCAAACCCGCGGTCAATCCCGGCACATCGAAAAATCTGGGCAAAAGGCTGGATGTTGAGCGGAAGCAAGATTGGAAAGCAGGAAGGACTTAGCTCTTCGCTTGATTTGTGATGTCCGCCCAAATTCGGCGTCTAATCAACAATGCGTCTCACACAGGTATGTGTTTTTAGTTGGAACACCCCGTTTAGGTTGCCAAGAATATTCAAAGGGAAACCAGGCATATCCTTCCTTTCTTGTTTTTTTGTTGTTGTGGGGGGGCAAGAACCAGTTTGTTGTGTCATGATTCAACAGGAATCTAAAAGTAAGACCAGAAACAACCCGCAGTTTTTTTGGGGGGGCACCTCTTGCTTGTGGGGGAATGTAAAAGGAACACAGGGGAAATCCACAGGTTTGGGGGTGGTACCTCTTGTCTCTTGCTTCGACTCGTTGGCATCGAGGCTTTGCCCGGCCTGCGGGCATTTCATCGAGGTGCTCCGTGTAGCCCCGCAGATCGCCCAAGGCTCGAAACGGCTCGCGCGCTGTTTGTTTCGAAGTCTTACCGGGAAAATGCGCCGGTGTCGAAACTTCGCCCTCAAAAGGACCCCGGAAAAGTGTGGTAAAGTCGAAAATAGACAAAGAAACAAAAAACAAAACAACAAAGACAAACAACTAAATAAACAAGTAAGTAAGCAAGTAAGCAAGCAAGCGAGCAAGCAAGAACGCACGCAAACAAACAAACACACAAACAAACGCGCACACACACACACACACACTCGCTCAGGTTCAAAACTCCCTGCAAGGGGAGTTTGGGTTTGCTGGCGATATTTCGGGGGCGCACTTTTTCTCGGGTGTCCCTCATTCAGATGACCCTGGATCAATGGAATGGCCATAGATCTTGTTGGTGCGATAGGAATTGACAAAGAGTCCGCGTGTTGGGATTGAAGCAGTTTTGGGGATCTCCGGAAAGGAAACCAAATCGGTTGGATGTTTTTGTGTTTTTCTTTTTTTTCGGGGTCATTCCATTTCTCATTCCTTGAGCAGCCAGTAGATCTTGACTGGAAGGCCCCGTCCTCCGGGAGCCAATGAAGCAGACGCCCAACCTCTCGGTGCCTCCCAAGGTGGGTGCCGGGTGTGGGAAGCTAGGGACCTCCAGGAAAAGGAAATCCCAAGCTTCACTGTTGGATCACGATGTTTTTTTTTGGGTTAGGCTGCAGAAAGCAAAGCTTGCTGCTACCATGCCAAGGGTTGTAAAGCAATGGATGTGAAAGGTCCAAGAAGCTTTGAGCTTTTGGCCCATCCTTGCTGACTAAAGCAAAGTCCAAGGAGTTGATGCTGAAAGCTGGGATGCCAGGTAGCGTTTGCTTGGAGCCACGGGCATTTCGGCCAATTTGAAACACAGCCATCCAGCCATTGGCTTCAAGAGGCGCCGCTGTCAGTTTTGGCTCAAGCCTAACACTACCCAAGCACCCAGCTCGCAATCTCCAGGCGCCCGCGTGTTCTTTTTCCGGGCGTCCGTGTCAACATGCAAGATGTAGCGGTGGTTCCTTAAGCACTGGAATCGGTGCTGTCATGGTTGAGATGCTTAAAGAATTTGTCCCTTGCTGTCTTCAAGAGGATTTGGCATTTTCTTCCTACGCCCAACGTTCTGAAGCTCCCCCTGTTTTTTTGGATTTCTTCGGGGCATTCTGCTGAAACGCTCCGGGTGGCCCCTTGGTTTTTCGGCGACTTCCGCGAGGCGCCATGCCCGCAGCCGTCAAGAACACCTTTGCCTTGCTGGCCGGCCGCGGCCATGGCGCGTCACTTTGGGAGTTGGTCCAACCCGTCACTTTGGGAGTTGGGGCAAAAGGGAAGCCACCAGGACACAGGAAAAAGTATTGGGAGTGACTTGTTGAGGGTTGGCTCAAGGGAAACCACCCAATTTGGTCTTGTGGTTGAAAGACGGAAAACCATGGCAATCCATGGCAAGCCGTTTTGGGAGGGCCAAAATCAATGGGAAGGGGCAAAAATGGTAGCTTCTCGAACGATGCAACAACTGCTCCGGCCGAAGTTTGTGAATCACATACATGTGCAGATACACTCGATGGGGATCCACAATGGCTTGACGATGTGTTCACAGCCACCGACCAAGCTGACTGACAATGTGTTTTTGTGCTCACATTCGACTCGCCAGCGCTTGGCCGCACATGGGGTCGAATTGGTTTTCGCCTGGCGCGAAATAGATGGGGTTCTGGGCATCGCTCAAGTCCGGGGCTCAACTGGAACCCTGAAAAAGGTTCGCCGTTTCTTCCGCAGTCTGCCTCCCTCGGATTCGCCGCACAAAACGGCACCCATTGATGGCGCCCCGTTTCCGAGTCCATGGGATGCGGATCCCATCCGAGCCGCTAAGGTGAGTCTGATGACGAGCAAGACCAGACCCATGAGGACAGCTTTTGGTTTGCTGCTGGAAAGCTTCTTTTACGTTCAATCCCCAGAAAGGGAGGCCTCAACACATTGTTTCCATGGAAAGTCACTGGCCAGCAAGGGGCATCTCAAACAACAAAAGGCGGTTCGGAACCCAGCGAATCGTCCGGTTCCTCATGTTTGTATTCTTCTTCTTTTTTAATGTTGTTTCAGTTGGTTTAGCGGGGTTTCCTTTTCGCATAGAAGTCAGAAAACGGACAGCCCAGTGAGCCATCCCAAAAGGAGGCCCCTTTTGCCTGGGATCACTGGCCAGGAGCAGGTGCCTGTGGAGGAGGAGTACCCACAGGCGGGAGGGACATGTGAGGGTGTTTTTGCTGGAAAGAAACAAGGGTGAGGTAGGAAATCACTCACCCACCAGCTGATTTTGAGGATCAAACACTTTGTAAAGCAGTTTTCAGAGGAGCTATGTGTCAAACAACTCCAGTTGAAGTCTTTGGCCGGTTCCCTCCCCGTGCATTTTCCGTGGGGTTCTGTTTGTAGCTAAAAAAAAATGGATGTTTTGGGATTGTTTTTGAGGATCTGAAAGGAGACAAACCGAACGCCTTAAGTTCAGGTTACCCTTAGTTGGTGGTTTGGATTCTTGTAGGGGGTAAATGGGAAGCCACTTCTTAATCACCAAACCACCAATTAAATGAAGGAAGCTGATTCAATTGAGGATTCTGCAAAAACGCTTCGGAGACATCGCCCGGAGCTGCTCCCAGGTTTTGTGCGAATCAGGGAGACCACAAGAGGATGGGCCATGGAAGCGTTTTGGGCTCAATCGATCAGTCAGCTCTTCGCTGGTTTGGCGCCTTCTGAGGACCTGCGCCTTGGGCTTCAAATCCACACCACTCGGGTCTCGTGTTTTTGGGGGCGAAGCCTGGGGTTTTGCCGACCGACGTTTTCCGATTCCCCTGGCTTCTCAACCGCTACGGCTCGGCCAGGCGGTCGAGGAGCCAGTTGTGGAGACCAAGGCAGGAAGGAGGTTAGATTGATTTGGGTTCGACGGTATTCGCACGCTGAATCAAGCAATGCTATTAGATGATAACCTGCTGTTCAAGACCGTGAAGTGACAAGTTCTGGATGGTTGAATTGTGAACTATTGGATATGAAGAAGTGTCCCATGGTTGCCCGTAAAATTGGTCATGTTGGTACCTCTAACAACTGCCCCACCCCCACCGCTTTAGGGCAAGAAGGGCAAGAAGAAGGGCGCTGCCGTTGCGGAGCCACAGGCTGTCAGCGGCCTCAGAACTTCGCTAAACGCTTCGTGTTGAATTCGGTGAAAGAAGCACTCACTCTTCTGAGCTATCCTTACTGTGAGCTCTTTTCTTCCTTTTTGCTGTTTCTTTTTTGATTGTTTTGCTTGAGTTTGCTGTTGTTCCTCTTTTGGCAGTGTTCCTCCCTTCGGGGTTGGTGTCCGTACTTTGCGTTTTTTCCTCTTGCTGGTTTTTAGTGTTTGCTTGTTTGAATAATTTGAATGTGGTTGGGGGCGTCAACGCCAAAGAAATGGTCAGAGTGCCATCTCTTGCCATTGTTTTTGCGTGTCGTACCCTCTCCCCCAGGGCACCTGACGGGCTGCGCATCAACCATCCGATCCCTTGCAGCCACGCCAGCAACCTCTATGTGCAGATCGACTGAAAAATGGGACTCTGCAAGTGCTTGGTGCCCCTTTTCGTTTCCAATCAGGGACTGGCCAATTTCGAAGCTTGTGACGGTGTTCGCTTCTCGAGGCGGTGTATCCAGTTCGACCAACATTGGATCGGTCAAAAGGAAATCCACATAGGCTTGGTAGACCACATTTCCGATTGGTTTGATCAATTACCCAGACGTTCATGGGAGTAGTGCGAGTGGCGCTCGCGCGAGTTGGTGCGTAGCTTTGTTTTTCTCAGCGCCCAATAACTTGATCTTTGAAGCTAGCAGTCGCTGCGCCCGGATTTTGGAGGGCTCGCCCTCCCCCCCACTTTCAATCTTCGTGGCACTAGCTGGGTTTTCCGACACTTGGTCTTACAACCTACCCCTCGCCTGCGATTCTAAGCATTAATATGACCACCGTCTACCTCGTAAGCAACTGTTCAGGTTTCAAGCCTAAGGCCGGAAGTCTAAAGCTATGTCTCCAAAATGGGGGGGGACCAGACAAGTGGCTTCCCTTTGGTCCTTTCATCGCAAAAAGGGTTCCAAGAAAACACTTACGCGCTTGAGGCTGCACCAGTCGCTGCTGTGGCAGAGGTGAGGGAAGCGCCAAAGAAGAAGGACACGCCTTCCTTCCGTCCTTGCGCCTCGTTCATGTGAATGTTGACCCCAGCTGAATCGACCCTTGCTTGTTGATAGGGTGTCCCTGGGTTTAGGCACTTTTGGAGGGGAACCCCAAATGAAGAAACTGGGGTTGATCAATCTGGGATTAAGATTAACAACTGCAGTGGGCGGTTGCCAAAATTGTTTCAAGAACCCCCTGGTGCAAAGGGAAGCCCCCCCAAAAAAGCTCACTCTTTGTTTGGACCCAATGCTTGAAGCAATGCTTTCGATGGCAGCTTGACCGATCAGCTTTTTGGGCCTGCATGTCTGGCCTTATGCTTTGCTACCTCGCAATCTAGGAGCATATAGAAGCTATGAATCATGGAACGATTTCTGCTGAATAGGGGGCAGGACGAAGCTTTTGAACACTTTGCTTGAGAGCGGCAGCACGAACGTGTCGGGGCTGGTACAAAGGGTATCGACCGCGATACGCTTCGCATGACAAAAGCTGAGGTACAGCGAGCCTTTCTTGGGGCTTTGGGTTCCCCATTTTTTGGGTTTCCCTTTGGTCGCTTTTCCTTCCCTTGCGGTATTAGTTTCCCATGGTTTCCCATGCTGGGTTTTGCGGGTCGTTGTCCTTTGGTTCTCTTTGTTGCTCATGTTTTCTTCGTTTTGTGGTTGCTTGTTTTTGCTGTTTATCTGATAGTCTTCATGTTTTGTTGTTTTTCCCCCAATACTACGTGTTGTTGGATTTATACCTGCTACTCTCACGGCTTGGTGCGCAACGCCCATGTCCGCCGTCAGGAGCCCAAAGAGCCCAAAGAGCCCAAGGCGCCGGCGAGGGTGAATGAAATTACCGCCTAGATCGCCGAGGTAAATGAACTGCTTCTTTCAGTCACTGCTGGCTTTTGGGAAGTGCATGGACAAAAACAGGAGCTGGCGATCCAGGCAGGAATTAATGGTTTCAGGCAGGGGTTCTCCAAGTGGTGCAAAATGGATGTCGCGACCATGAATTTCAAGGGGCCCAAAGATTCGGAGAGAATTCGTTGAGATGTGTTGGTAACAAATTGACCAACAGCCAAATTGGATCTGTTCCAACTCTAAGAAGCGGCCTCAGACCTTGCGGTTCCGAGCTTGGCTGAGAATTATTCCCCCCCCGCATTTGGTGCTGTATCAAATTGGACCTTTTCGCAAGAAAACACATGCCATCCCACCCATGCCACCTGAGCAGAGTCTTTTTTTGCGATTCGCTTTGTATTCGGGGCGGAATCTCTTTAATGCCGCAGAGGCTCCGCGTAGGCAATTTTGTTGGGGCAGTCCGCAGGTTCGCGTAGGCATGTAGGTGCTTGTCGCGGCGTAGGCTTGCGTAGCCCCCCTTCAATGGTTTTACACACCCGCAGAGGCTCCGCGTAGGCATGGCTGCCAGTGGAGAGGGCCAATACACTCA